TTTCTGATAATCATCCAAAGCTAAGGGGATTTTATGATATTTGGTCTTACTGTCTACCTATAATCGGATTTCGAAAATTTGATATTAAACTAGTGTGTACTCCATGCAAAGCACGGCCCCCTTTTTTTTAAGCACTGCATTTTGAACCAACCTCCCTCTAAGGTTTAATACATTTGATTTGATTATTGTATGCTTAAAATTAGAAATCATATCTTTTGCTCTGTACTTAAAAGGGGATTGTTCATGATATAGTAAAATACTGTAGCACGAACAGTAAGTTTACTCCTCTATACTTATACTTAAAAGGAGGACCTAAAGATTTACTATTCATGCTATAGTTGTAGTATTTACTGTAGCATGAACCATAAATCTTTCGATCCTCCTTTAAGTATAGAGGAGTAGATATCATCTTTTCTTATCATTCATCCGTGTTGCTTTCCATCTTATTGTAATGACTCTGGAGCAAACAACCAATTCTAATCAACTTTATTTCAAGCTTTAGTCAGTACCAAGGGGGGATTTGAGATTTTTAATATTAAGGAGAGGACTAGTCCCGATTCAAGTAGGGAGGAAACATTGAATAAGTAATGTTCTTTTAGCAGATGATGATGGGTTTCATTACACTCTAGATTGCCAAAAAAGAGAGAAATTAAGCATAAAGAGAATTAGTAATTTATAATAGATGGTTTCTTCTAATCTTTTAACTGTTTATGTTGCCAGTTCAAAGCTAATTAAATAAGAAACAAACTTATTCTTTGCTTCGAAATCCTACTTCCTTGCTGATGGAGGATATAAGACGAGGCTTACTGGATATTTTGAATAGGTTGTATGAAACTTAGCATGTAACTTTGAGTTTGTAATATATATAGAAATCAGGACAGTAAGTCTTTGCCTTGCTATAAAATGCTATTGGATTTGGCTTCTACCTATGCATGAGCTTCACAAATTCAGTGATTCCCTTGGAGCCTATGTTTACAATTATATGTCATGTCTAAAGTCCGTAACATTTGGGATAAAGAGTTGAATGAATTATGCAACATTAAGGTCTATGGTACTATAAGAAATCATATGACCCTGTAGGTTGAACATGTGATCAGAGAACAAAATGTTATGGCAGCAAACGAGATTATTGAACTCTTCTGCGAACTACTTGTGGTTCGCCTCCCAATAATAGCGAAACAGAGGTTTGTTCACTTTCTACCTTTTGCTCATACAAAAGTTCCTTGTATTCCTTTCTGCTTTCAGTTAGTTTAATTTTCACCCTTCTTTAGGGATTGCCCAGCTGATCTTAAAGAAGGGATTTCGAGTTTGATATATGCTGCTCCAAGGTGCTCAGAGATCCCAGAACTCAGTCGGATTACTGAGATATTTGAAAAGAAGTACGGGAAGGACTTTGTATCTGCTGCAAGGGATTTACGTCCTGAATCTGGTGTTAATCGCATGGTATGATCTTATTTTTATAATTTTTGGAGGTGCACTTCATGAGGATTGACACTTAATTTTCACACTGCAAAATTTTTCATTGTATTGTGCCATAGTCTTTGTCTATTTCTGATGAGCTTTCATTAAATTCGTGTTTTCTAAAGCTAATAGAGAAGTTATCAGTCCGAAAGCCTAGCGGTGAAGTAAAGATGAAAGTAATGAAGGAAATAGCTAAAGAATATCTGGTAGAGTGGGATGCAACAGAATCTGAAAAAGAGCTTCTCCAACCTCCAGAAGAACTCCTTGTATGTTTGCTAATAACTTCTTGCTCTAGCCATCATATTACATTTTAGTTCACAGTTTATTAGTCTAATCACTAATATCACAGGAAGGGCCACGCTCTTTTGTTAGTGCCTCTAGCATGTCAGTGAAGCCTACTCTTTCACAGGATAATATGCAAGCAAAAGAAAGTAATGTCAGGTTAGTTACTCTTCAAATATATGGTCACAAGTCCGATAATCATTTATTTTAGGGTTTTTTTCCCTCTCCTGATATTGGTCTTCTAAATCATGTTTATGTTAAAATTGTCTCCTAAACCTTGTTCATTTGTGAGTGCCTCCAGCATTCCGATGAAGCCTACTTTTTTGCAGGATGGTGTGCAAGAGAAAGACAATAATTCCAGGTTAGTTATCTTCAAAATATGGTCTCGAGTCCAAATAATCATTTAGTTTAAGGTTTCTATGTTGAAACAATTTTAGGCTCTTAACTAATTGTAGGTTAAAATAAAAGATTTTTACTAGAGAACCTATGTGGTGTAACTTAAAAGTATTTTGTGGCCAATATTTCAAAATGAACATGATTTTGGGGTGATCAATATCAGAAAGACCCCTTCTATGGATAAAAAAAGAAAAAAGAAGAAAAAGAAAGACCCTTTATTTTACTTCTTCTAACTTATCCATCCTTGCTTGGTCTTTTCAGACCTCACAGTGGCAGAGAACAGTCCCCCACGCAGTTCAAAGACGTAGCTTCAGCAGCTCAAGCAGCAGCAGATTCTGCAGCTCAAGCAGTTTCTGCTGCTGCACAAGCTGCAGCATTTCTTGCCAACCAAAATTCTAATCATCAAAGCAACTCAGCGAACTCAAGAAGACAATCCTCAGACTCCACTCAATCCTCAGCTAGAAACAACAACCCCTCCAAGATTTTCGCTTCTCAGAGTTTCCACAGGTCGAACTTTATGAATGATGATGATGATAACATGGATTCTGTTGATTTGGACGATAAGAAGGTTCTCAGAAGAAACAGTTATGCTGATAGAAGGATACACTCGAATATAAGGTTTGATGATTCTGATGGATTAGATTCTGATGAAGAGATAGATAGCCACCCTCCACCAAATCGACCAGCTCCAGTGCTGCCTCGTAGTGATCAATCTGAAAGGAAATCAACTGATAGTTTTGCTGCTCGTGTTCATCCCAATTTGCCTGATTATGATGCCATTACTGCCCGATTTGAAGCTCTGAAGTCAAACAGATATTGAATTCATTCTATAGCTTTTTATCTTCACTTATTGTCATGCTGATCACAAGCTTAGACATGGGAAGCTATTGAATTATGTTGTTGAGAAGTAAGTCGTAGTAGGGATTTATAGACGTAGTTCAGTGATTATATAGATGATACTGAAGTTGAAATTTTTTGTTTACAATAGATATTTATATATTCTAAGTCTTCTCCCTTTGTAACTTCTTTATTCCTACATGTTTGACGAGAACTTAAGTGTATCAGCTATTTGTATAAAAGGTTTGCTTGGTCCATGCATGTTTTATTAGATTTAACGATTACGACAAAGCTCTAATGGACTGTATAGTTCACTGTCTCTGACTCTTCAACTCAAGAAACTGTTTCTAAGACAAAAATGGAAGTTTGCAAGAGAATAATGGTGCTGCTTTAAAACTTTGGTTACGAGGACAAACTGAAATCTACGTCCTCTATCATTTAATGGAAATACAACGTTTAATTTTAGAGGGTCCAAAACTTGTCAGATTTATCGTCAGAAATGAAGCTTTATTAATCTTGGTTCTTCTTGATATATATGGAAGCATTCGAGTAAAAATGATTGTTATCTCTCATCATTAAAAATTCTGATCATTAGTCACAGAGGTCTGCCACACAATGCCTATAGTCTAGTAATTTAGTAAAGCATACAGACTATTTTCAGCCTATTTGAAAATCAACACCAGTTTAACAATCTCTTCTTCAAGTAAAGGTTGAACGTAAGTGATACATACATATTAAAAGTACAAGGATTGCTAGAATTATCATTCGACCTCCACCTAAAATCAATATAAATTAATGCTCGCTCCTCACTCTACAAAAATTCCACTTGTCACGAGTTATGTTAGTATTTCAAGGAACAAGGTAAGGCAATGCTTTGTAAATCCAAACATATCTCTCCCTCAAATGATACCATTTCAGTACTAGCCATTTGTTTCCTCTCTTAAACAAAGTACATAACTCTCCAGCTTGTCAATGGCCCACTCCCTATCTCTATACATTAGCAATGGTGAACCCTAAGAAACTCACAAAAAAAGTGTCTGCCTTGGCTTAAGTAAGTCTCGTCAGCGCTAAATGATGCTCAACTTGAATCCAACAGAGGCCATTTCATTGTATGTACTTCAGATGCAAGGAGGTTCACTATCCCTTTATCATACCTCCAAAGCTCTATCTTCGTAGAGCTCCTCAACATGTCTGAAGCTGAGTTTGGATTGCCGAGTGATGGGCCTATCAGATTGCCTTGTGATGCAGTGCTCATGGAGTTTGCTCTACCATTGCTCAGAAGACGAGGGTCTAAAGCTATGGATAGAGTGTTACTAGATTCCGGTTCAAGCATTGTCAATCGTCTTGCTCTTTCCCACATTGTAGGATTTAGTCAACAAGTTGTTTGTGGGCGTTGATTATTTTTTGATTCAGATTGTACAATCATATTACAATTTGATTTAGTTAGCATAACAATGTTAATGCCACAAATTTAAGACGTAATCTAAGTTTTGAAATTATTGAACTGCGTTTATATGTCAGTCGTGCAATGAGACCAGCACTTTTCACCGTAAATTTGAAAAGTTTACCCTTCATATTGTATTCATCTTGTCTTCATCCGCCACAATCAGCAGAGTCGTGAAGCCTTAAATGTCCCAATTCCTAGCTATTTGATTCATCTTAAACCTTATAGAACTATTGATGCGATTCCATTATGAATGAACTTAATATGCCGGCATCTTCTATAAGGAAAATGACGGGACTTGAGCATCCCTAAGTTGTGAGAAACATAGGCGAGAACATGAACGAGGTAAAAAACACTCTTATGTAAAGCCCAAGAACTATAGGTCGTAGTTCAAGTTTGATAATTAAGTTCATTGCCTTCTCCCCATTTTCAGAGAGTAGATTACAGTAACATACGTACAATTCCTCAAAAATCTCCTATCACGTATGTTCCCTCGAAGACTTTTTCTGATCACAAAGAAGTCACTAAAACGATCACTCTCACCGTACAGTACACTGTGATGACTCCCCCTAAGATTCATCTCAAAAATCATTGAACCTGCTAGAGATAACCAGGTCTCTACATAAAAAAAAAACACAGGGATCATTATTGTTGATCCGAAATTTTAAGAGGTGTGCGCGCCTGTTGTTTTAATAGTATGTCCTGTCTTTTATACAATGTAATTTCTTGTATTGCATAATTGGCGCCATCAGATTGCCTATAAATAGGAAGAATGTGCTATTTGTCGACAAAGAGAAATCGGCTACTTGATATTCAATAAATTAAAAGATAAGATCTCTATTGAGTGCTCAAGAAAATTGCACAAGTTTGTATAGTTACATCTCTGGCTTGATAACAGGATCCACATTTCATCATCTAATCCGATACATGGATTTAGTTATTAAACAAAGGTAGCTACCAAGAGAGAGGCAAGTTGCTTTCTAGGTTTGCTTCATGCTGTTGCTCCCTCCTCATAAATAGGTTTTCTTCTGTCTCCTTCCCTTCGATTTCCATTGAAACATCGCTGGTGTTTCCAGAATTGAACGCCAGTTTCTCACGGCAAACTTCACATGGATCTATTACTCAGCATCTGACTCTTTATGACATGAAAATATTCTAGTGTGCCGAGTATTGCCAAGAAGAAGATACTTCTAACGGAATCCAGACATCTCTCTTTAAATCTAATCTTCTCTTCTATTAACCACATTAGAATTACTGAGATTGCCTATACGTAGACAGTCTCCACTGCTTAAAACTAAATGCATAATTTTAGATCTTTGATTGATTGAAAGGATACTGATCTTCTTATATATATTTAGTGTAATATGAAGGAATATTTTTGCAGCAAGGAGCGCGTAAATACTAGATGAGAATGGTAGGTTTCCATTATCATACCCTTGGTTAGCGGCGTAAAACAAACCAAATAATTAACGTATAAGTACGTATATATATGTGTGTGTGAGATATACATGTGTGTGTATTGTAGATGGTTCAAAAGAACACGAAACATATATATGTATGTATTCATGTATATATACATGCATACATATGTTGGATAGAGCCAGAGGGAGCCACAATCTTTGACCAAAAAGATTGCGACCCACACCCAAAGATTGAAGCACATTATTTCGATAGGAAGGAGCCGCATTCCTTGACCTATCAGTGTTAGGCATCGAAAACGAAGAAATTAATAAACCGCATTTGTTGATAATATGGGATCAAGTTAGCATATAAAAGGATCAGAGTTCATTCTCGTTCTATCAATCCAATCTCATAACTTCATATGGAAAAGTGAGAGAAAAATAGAGAGAGTTTCTCCCTGTATAAGAGAGATATTATAGCTCCTAAAATTTTATTTTCCTCGTAGTGAATTCTTTTACTCTTGTCCGTGATTTTACCCCAATTTATTTAGGGGGTTTTCCACATAAAAATCTGTGTGTCCAATTTATTAGTTCTGCACTAATATTAGCTGCAACCTTGCTCTATCTAGTCCCAATTTTCCAACAACTGGTATCAAAGTTTAGTTTAGGGTGCATGTATCTGCTTATCACATGCTTTGTGCTTGTCACCAAATGTGGATTCTCCACATCAGAAAATAAGTTAGATTGTATTGTTTACCCTTTGAAGGCATTGAGCACTATCCATGAGTATGACTATTATTCATGAGTATGGTTATTATTCACGTTAAATAGTAGAAGCTAGAATTCATGATAGAAGAAATGGTGGCAAAGTTCGAGATTGAAAATTCAACATGAGTAATTTTTCACTGTGAAAGTTGAAGATAAAGGCTATCTTGAGAAAAGATAATGGTCTATCGGCCATTGATGAAAGGCCAGAAGACATCACAGGTAGCAAGAAGTGGGACGATACGAGATGCTATTGTAAATCTCCATCTAGCATTAACAGATAGAGTACTGTCAAACATACAGGAGAAGAAAACAGCAAAGGATATCTGAGATACTCTAACAAATTTATATGAGACCAAATCCTTACATAATAAACTCTTCTTAAAAAGGTGACTTTACACTCTAAGGATGGTAGAATCTACATCACTGACCTATCTAAACACACTATTTTCTCAACGTACAACATTGGGGCATACAATCGGTGTAAATGAACGTGCAGAACTTCTACTTCAAAGTCTACCTGACTCGTTTGATCAGCTCATCATCAATTTAATAAATAACATCCTCACGGATTATCTAGTCTTTGACGACATTGCAGCCGCCGTTCTGAAGGAAGAAAATCAGTGTAAGAACAAGGAAGACAGGCCGACGAGTCCGCAATAAGTGGAGTCCTTATTGGTAATGAGAGGAAAATCAACAAAACTCTAGCTCCAGTGAGAGTTATACCCATCGTAGATCAAAATCAAGAAGTAAGAAGAATATCAAATGCTAAAAATATGGTAAAAAGGGCACGTGAAATCGGAGTGTTGGCACAATAAGAAGAGTGATGATAAAAAGACTTCATATCATCAACATCTCAAGGATGTGTTGTAAGCACATAAGCCGATGGTAAAATTTTATACAGTGGGTAATAACTGTTGATGCAGGTAGAAAGAGGTTTGTTGATATCTAGCTTCTAGATTCAGTAGTCACCTAGCACATGACCTCTTGAAGAGAATGATTCCACCAATATGAACCTATCTCAGAATGGTTCCACCAATATGAACCTAACTCAGGAGAATCTGTATTTATGGGTAATGATTGTGTTTTGAAAATTTTTGGTATTAGCACTATCAAAATCAAAATGTTTTATGGTACAATATGCACTATTCAAGATGTACGACATGTAAAAGTCTTGAAGAAGAATTTATTGTCTTTAGGACAATTGGATAATCTCGGATGCAAGACCCATATAATAAATGGGATCATGAAAATTGTTACAGGAGCACTTGTTATAATAAAAGGAGAAAAGATAGTTGCAATTCTATATTTACTTAAGGGAGAAACCTTGTAGGAAGCTGATTCATATGTGACATTAATTAGATGTGGAGAAGTACTAACCATGATGTGGCACCATAAACTAGGCTAAATGTCAGAATGAGACTTGAAGATTCTCTCCGACTAGAAGTTACTTCCTTGGCTCAAATTGGTAACTCTTATCTTCTGTAAGCATTGTATTACAAGTAAGCAACATCGGCTGAAGTTTAACACATCAAGTTTTAGAAGCAAGACTATTTTAGAACTGGCTCATTCTGATGTGTGGCA